CAACCCTCAGTGTCGCCCCTGTACCAGACCGGGACCGGCAACGGGATCGCAGCCCTCCGTGTTGCTCCCGCGCCTCGCTCAGCCAGTGAGTGGGAACTGGTCTGTATGTGGGGGATCTTAACCCTTGACTTGGTGTTGTCAGCACCACACTCACCCAGTGAGCGAACCGGCCATCCCTATATGGGATCCGAACCCGTGGCCCTGGTGCTATCAGCACCGCATTCTCCCGAGTGAGCCACAGGCCGGCCCAAGGTACAAAGTTTTAAAAAGTCAAATAGTTCTTTAAAATTTATAACAAAATCAGCAGGCCCTGTTTTCCATTCCTACGCTGTAAAAGAAACCATTTCTCTATTCTTGTCGCTGTGTGGTTTACTGCCATAATTCTCAATAATGTCTTTATACTGCTATTTCTTGATTACATAGTTTTAAAAATTACCCATTAACTTCTTACAGTGGAAGATGAGCATTTAGCTCTTTTATACCACCACCAGCGTACTCTCACACCCCTCCCACTTTCCACCATTCCAATAATATAATTAAATCATAATTTTTGGCTAAATCAATATTCAATGTTTCCATTATTATGACTGTATAATTTACCACAGTGCCCTATGTACCCTATTATATTTCCATTTTCTGTTTTAACAACTTGTAATTTGCTCCAGATTTAATATGCTCTTGTTTATTTTCATTTGTCTAAATTTTCTCTGTACCTATCACTAATTTATCCCCAGCTGTACCAGAAGTGTAAATTTCTTCTCAGAATGTTCAAATAAGTCAGGTACCAATTTCAGTTTTTTGCTTGGAGAGGTCCCTCTTGGAGCTCACCATCCTTGTCATTCCACCCCAACCCACACTGATTGCTGTGTAGGCCTGCAGAGTAGTGGCAGCCTCGGATGCTCTAAGTCTTGAGAATTTCCTTTGTTTTTCTCCTGTGTTTATAACTACTGCTTTATTTTGTGTTATGGTTTTTTCTGCAGCTGGCCCTCACTCTAACCAATACCTAACCAGCCAGTCCAGAACTACTGTGTTTTAGATACCATAACTATCTGTATATTTTTTCATCCTTTTTATTATAGACTTCAATAACTTCCTAAGAAAGGGTATGCAGGAGATGCCTTTATTAGATTTTGCAAATCTGAAAATGCCTTTATTCTACCTCATGGCTGTTTGATGGCTTGATTGCATATAGAATCATAGGCTGAAAGTCATTTTCCCTCAGAATCTTCTAGCTTTCAGCATTGCTGTTGAAAGTCCATTCTGATCCATAATCCTTTCTTTTATTTTTATTATTATTATTATTATTTTTAAAGATGACCGGTAAGGGGATCTTAACCCTTGACTTGGTGTTGTCAGCACCACGCTCACCCAGTGAGCAAACCGGCCATCCGTATATGGGATCCGAACCCGTGGCCTTGGTGTTATCAGCACCGCACTCTCCCGAGTGAGCTACGGGCCGGCCCCTTATTTTTATTATTTTTTAATTCACTTTTTTCTTTTTATTTTTTCCTTGATTCTTGATCCTTTATATGCTGATTCTGTTTCCTTTTAGGAATTGCCTGTTCACTTAGAGTTTCTTTTTATGTTGGCTTGTTTGTTTTGATCTCTTTTTTTCAAGTTGGAGGATTTCCTTGAAAGTCTGGTGCTCCTTAGCTGGCTACTAACAGTTCAAAGTAAGACACTGAAATATTGATTAGAAGCTCTGTCAGTGTGCAGGTCTGTTAAGTAGTGTTAAGTAGTGAGCTTCACTATAAGAGTGACAAAGTGGTGATCCAGCCACTTCTTTGGGACCCTTTCTAACCATTAGTTTTTGGTTTTGGTTTTGGTTTTGGTGGCTGGCCAATACAGGAATCAAACCCTGGACCTTGGGGTTATCAGTACCCTGCTCTAACCAACTAAGCTAACTGGCAGCCTAACCATCAGTATTTTTATACCTATTCTCTTGGGCTGATCCATTCCCCAGAAAGGCATTCTCCTATCTCATTTAGGAGGGTATAAATCCAGATGCCAGCATTTAGGGAACTAGATGGGAGAAGCAGACTGGAGAGCTCACCATTTGGTACACAGAATTTCACTTAATCTCCCCTCAGCTTGCCTGGTATCCTGAAATCCAGAGTCCCTATAGTTCAGTCACTCCAGAGTCCCTATAGTTCAGTCACTCATCTGCCAAGACCAGGGAGAGACTGCACTCTCCTTAGCTGGCTTCTCCTCCTCAACACAATCTATACATATGGAGGGACCCAGGGTTTGCTTCTGGACATCTACTCTTCTCTACAGTTCCTTCCCTAAATGATATCATCTGTGTAGGTACTACCTACAGCAAAAGGAGAACTCTGACTTCCCACCTTACTTCTGCCTAGTGGAACTCTCCTCTTGTATATCTCCAAGCATTCCAAATATAGCAGAATTCTTAATATCTTATCCATACCTTGCTACCCCCTAAAAGCTGGTCATCTCTTGATCTTTCCTGTTTCAGTTACTCAAGCCAAAACCCAGGAGTCATCCTTGATTCCTATTTCTCACACTCCAAGCATGCAAACCATTAAGACCTAGCAATTCTACCTCCAAAATATATGCTGAACCCACCCTTTTCTGTTCAGCTATTATCCAAGCCATCATCTTTTGGCCTGGCTTCCTACCATAGCCTCTAATGGTTCCCCTTGCTTCTCTTCTCCCACTTCCCCTTCATCCTCCCCGCACCCCCCCGCAATCCCCCACATTCTTTCTATAGTGACTAAATCAGATCATGCTACACCTTGGCTTAAACCTTCCAAAGGCTTCCTCTGCACTTATCGAAGCCCAGATTCCTTACCTTGGTTTATAAGGACTTGTATAATTCTACCCTTTCCAACGTCTGCAATCTCATCTCTACTTCTCCCCTTTTATGAATATGACAAGCTCATTCCTATTTTACAAAACTAAACATACTCTTACCATATTATCCAGCAATCACATTCCTTGGCATTTACTACTCAAATGAGTTTAAATCTTGTGTCCATACAAAAACCTGCACACAGATGTTTTTTTTGTTTTTTTTAAAAGATGACCGGTAAGGGGATCCCAACCCTTGGCTTGGTGTTGTCAGCACCACGCTCAGCCAGTGAGCAAACCAGCCATCCCTATATAGGATCCAAACCCGTGGCCTTGGTGTTATCAGCACCGCACTCTACCAAGTGAGCCACGGGCCGGCCTGCACACAGATGTTAATAGCAGCTTTATTCATAGCTGCCAAAACTTGGAAGCAACCAAGATGTCCTTCAGTAGGTGAAAGAATAAACTGTGGTAGATTCAGACCATGGAATATTATTCAGCGCTAAAAAGAAATGAGCTATCAAGCCATGAAAAGACATGGAAGAACCTTAAATGCATATTTAAATGAAAGCCACTCCGAAAAAGGCTATATACTATATGATTCCAACTATATAACATTCTGGAAAAGGCAAAACTATGGAGACTAAAAGGGTCAGTGGTTGACAGGGGTTTAGAAGGAGGAAGGAATGAATAGGTGGAGCAGAGGGTTTTTTTGTTTTTTTTTTTCAGAGCGGATTTTTAAGGCAGTGAAACTATTGTGTATGATACTATAATGGTAGATACTATCATTATACATTTGCCAAAATCCATAGAATGTACACACCGAGTGAACCTTAATATAAACTATGGACTTTGGGTGATAGTGAGATGTCAATGTAAGTTCATAGATTGTAACAAGTATACAATTTTGGGGAAGGCTGTGCCAATGTGGGGTGAAACTCTACTTTCTGCTCAATTTTACTGTGAACCTAAAACTGCTCTAAAAAAAAAAAGTATAAAAATAAAATAATTAATTTTTTAAAATGTAAGTACCAAGTATGAGTAAGTTGCCCAAGCTCACTCAGCCATGAAGGGGTGGAGGAGAAAGACTTGCTGAGGTTGTACAGCTGAGCAGAGAACTGAAGGATGAATGGGAGTTAGCTGGACAAAACCCAGAGCAAGAAAAGGGGAAATATTCCAGGCAAAGGAAAGGAAGGGCAAAGGCCCCACGTCAGGCACCCACGTAAGAGGGAAGAACTATGACCGTGTAAGATTGATTAATGATCCCATTTAATAAACTAAATGATTGGGCACTTTCTTCTGGATCCTTCACTTCCAGCACCAGGGGCCTCTACTAGCTCTTAGGCAGTTGCACTGTGAGATACCGGTGTGTTTGTCTGTTTCCCCTCCAACTGGTGAGCTTCCGTGTGCTCTGAGAAGTAGAAAGCAAACAGCACCATCTTGTTTTTCTTTGGATCCACAGAAAGACTGAGGAAATGACAAAGCAAATGGAGTAAAATGTTAACGATAATTGAATCTAGCTAAAGCACATACGGATGTCCCTTGTAATGTTTTTGTTTGTAATTGGTGTGTTTGAAATTATTTCCAAATAAAAAGCTAAAGGAAACAACAAACGATTGGCTTTGGGAAAATGGCCAATCTTCAATGAGAAGTAATCTGGCTGACATTCCTAAGAGATAATATTGTCTCTTAGGAAATATTACGAATCCGAAAAAAATCCTAATTTCAGTCCCAGCGTTGCTAATTCCTGCCAAGGTCACCTAAGCTTCTGAACTTCAATCTCTCCAACCCAAAGAGCTGTTGGAACGAGCAAATGAAAGAATGTATATCAAAGCCTTTCACGAACTGTAAGATGTTATTGCTGCTACTGTAGAAGAGGAAAGTGTGCAACAGTAAGTTGGACTAGAACCAAAACTGCTTTTCACGCTTCTAAAGCTGCGGCCGCCCACTATCACCTTTCAAAGGCCACAGGCCTCTCTCCCTGCCTAGCTCGCGCGGCCCACACTCGCCTTTCTCGCCTTTCCCGCCTTTCCAAGTGGGCGGCGCACGAACCGCTCGCGAGTCCAGGTGGCCACAGCTGCTACCCGAGAGCGCAGGCGCGGGGCCAGGTCACGTGAGGGCCGGGCAGGCGCCGTAGGGCCGTAGCCTGCCTCTGGCCCCGCCCCTTCTCGAAGGTCTTCGCGGGGTCACCCTGGAAACGCATTCTCAGGGAACCGGCAGTCGCCAATGGGAAGGGAGCGAGTGCCACGAACAGGCCAATAAGGAGGGAGCGGTGCGGGGTTTAAACCTGAGGCAGAGCTGGTTTCTCCCGGCGTGCTGCGTAGGAACGGCTGTTGGCCTGTGCTGGTTTAGGTCCTCGGCTCGTCGGGGGCTCTGGCGTTCTGCTTCTCCCCGCTGAGCTGCTGCCTGGTGGAGAGGAAGCCATGGCGCTCCGGGTCACCAGGGTGAGCTGCTGCGGCCTGTGAACAAACGCGTGTCTTCTCGCCCTGTCTCGTCTGCGGGAGCCCCCGAGCGGGCCAGGACCGCGGCAGCGATTTGGGACGAGGGTGGGGGGAGTCGCCGAGGGAGCGCCCAGGTGGGCGCCTGGCGTGGTGGGGGAGTTTGGGGGGCGGGCGGAGGGAGGAAGGAAGGAAGGTGAGAAAGAAAACTAGATGGATCTTGGTAAGTGTTCCGGGGTGAGGTGGAGGTTCGAAGAGAAACCTTTTGAAAAACTGATGGAGGTTCCCGGATGAATCTTCCATCAACTGCGTAACTCCCTTCCCAGAGAAGGTGTCTGCAATTGGAGGCTTTTTCGGTTTCTTATCAAATGTAACTTCGGGGTATTTTAGTGTTGGCCGGGACAGGACATTCCTCATAGGTAAATAAGGAGGTTCTAGGAGAAAAGTGACTTGTCACGGCCCTATAGCAGCCCCTGGAACCCACGTTTCCCCTTGGATCCCGTTTTTAGCCGGCTTTCCTTCTGAGTGCCTCTCCTGCGCCCCACCTTAATTAACTCTTGACTTACTCAAGCCTCCCTGCACCAGCTCTCAAGGTGGTCTTGCTTCTTTCAGAACACGAAAACTAATGCTGAAAATAAGGCGAAGATCAGTATGGCAGGCGCAAAACGTGTGCCTTTGGCCACCGCTGCAGCCTGCAAGCCTGGGCTGAGGCCAAGAACAGCTCTTGGAGACATTGGTAACAAAGTCAGTGAACAGCTACAGGCCAAAATGCCTCTGAAAAAGGTAACTATCTTCCTGCCCCAACTTCTCTGTAAGAGCCCACCATCCAACTGTGACCCTTGATGGAGAAACATTCTATTCTCTGTTTCATCTACAGGAAATAAAAACTTCAGCTACTGGAAAAGTTGCTAAAAAACTACCAAAACCTCTGGAAAAGGCGCCGGTGCCCGAGCCAGAGGCGGAGCCACAGCCTGAGCCTGAGCCTGTTAAAGAAAAACTTTCGCCTGAGCCTATTTTGGTAAACTCACTCTTGTTGATTGTTTCTTTTCCCTCATTTTACTGACGCATGGAACAGTGTTTGAATAGTAGTTAATACTAACATTTATTGAGTGCTTAGCATGAGGCAGGGTCTGCTAAGCACTTTACATGCATTAACTCACATAATCTTTAAGTAATACACTCCAAGGTAGGTATTACCTCTACATTTTAGATAATGGCTTAGAGAAGTAATAAGTCAGCATCCCACAGCGAATATGCGGTACATATGGGTTCAAGCCCAGGCTGTCTGGCTTCAGAACCTATGCTTTTAACTGCTTTCTTATATTATCCCTTTTGTTAATGGTATTAAGTTGTACCTACCTGAACTAAAGATTTTGTTGTCCAAGTACAAACCATCTCTGTCCAGAATTTATTGACTGAAACACAGAATATTCTTTTGAATCTTTTTTTACTCCCTAATGTGATCACTAAATAATTAATAAGCCTGTAACATTGAAATATATAAAGGAGAGTAAAGCAGAAAAAAATTGTTGCTCTTCAGAGAGTGGATAAGAAGATGAATTAACACTTAACCTCAAAAACCAAGAATTTTTTTATTAATGTATTTACTCCTGTGAAGAAAAGACAGGACATGTAGAAGAGGCTGCTTTGTTGGAATTGCAATGAACTGCATTCTGAAGCGCTAATTTTTTTTTTTTTTTAAAGATGACCGGTAAGGGAATATTAACCCTTGACTTGGTGTTGTTAGCACCACGCTCACCCAGTGAGCTAACCGGACATCCCTATATGGGATCCGAACCCTGGGCCTTGGTGTTATCAGCACCGCACTCTCCCGATTGCGCCACGGGCTCGGCCCCCAGCTTCTTAAATTTTATCTAAGGGTGAGAGATTGGAGGCTATTACTTTAGTTCTGAATTTCTGGACATAACAACTTGAAACATGTAGTATGCACAGTCTTTTTTTTTTTTTTTTTTTTTTTTTTAATTCTTTTTATGTTCCCACTTTTGGAGGAGTGGAGGCAGCTGGCCAGTATGGGAATCCAAACCCTTGGCCTTGGTGTTATAACGCTGCACTCCAACCAACTGAGCTAACCAGCCAGCCAACATGCACAGTCTTTAATTGGGGATATCAAACTACCTGAGTCTTTCTTGACAGTCTCATACTGATCCTTGCCTTTGCTTTCCCACTTATTTTTTTTTTTTAATTTTGTAAAGTTTTGAAACCAAATGTGAGGACCAACCTGGAAACACCATCCCACAGTCAGAGAAATGTTCTCTCCCACTTATTAAGAATGCCTTCCCCACTCTTTGCTTTCCCACTTATTTTTTTTTTTTAATTTTGTAAAGTTTTGAAACCAAATGTGAGGACCGACCTGGAAACACCATCCCACAGTCAGAGAAATGTTCTCTCCCACTTATTAAGAATGCCTTCCCCACTCTCTTTCATTTAGCTAATAACCTTTTTATTTGTCAAAACAGCTCAAGCATCAACTGAAGCTTTCCCTAACTTCCCCCACCCCACCCCTATTCCTAGAATCAATCTCATTATTTTGTTTACTTTATTTCTGCTAAATTCAAAGCCACTTGAGAATGCCATTCAGTCCATTCCTAGTACAGAGTGTGACTTGAAGAAGGTGCTCATTAAATTTTTGAACAGTGGAGTAAAGGGAGCTTGAAGGAAATGGTTTGTGGAAATGAAGTCAGTTAATCTTTAGTAGTCAGTCAGAATTTAGTGTTATCTTGAGTAGTGATAAGCAGTCCATGTTTTGAAATAAAAACTGAAGACTGACTTGTCATTCATTTGGATAAACTTCACATGATGCTGATAAACAGATTCATTACTTATCAGTTTTCTTTGGAGTAAAGTCTAGAATGTGAATTTATTTGCTTTTTCTGTTTTACCTGTTAGCATTTAGGTTCTGCTAACTATAAATTAACTCAGTAAAATTGGTATTACACTTTTAAAATTAATCACTTCCTAAAAAGAAATTGAATAAATCTGAAAAGATACTTTTTCTTTAAGGAAATGAATTATATGTCTTTGGCAGAATGGTTTCTTGGGTTGGTACCAATAATCCGACCTTCATTCCCAAATATAATATGTGCTCCTCTTTGCTATTGTTTCAAGAGGTCTCTCTGTTTCAAGGTTGATACTCCCTCTCCAAGTCCAATGGAAACATCTGGATGTGCCCCTGCAGAAGAATATCTGTGTCAGGCTTTCTCTGATGTAATTCTTGCAGTGAATGATGTGGATGCAGAAGATGGAGCTGATCCAAACCTTTGTAGTGAATATGTGAAAGATATCTATGCTTATCTGAAACAACTTGAGGTCAGTATATCATGAGTCTGTTTTTTTTCTAAACTGCATCTAGCTTTATTAAAGATACTTTCTGTCTAGAGTTTACAATAATTCAGACAGGACATGGGCAGCATTTTTTAACAATAGATGGCACTTTCAAATTCTCCTTCATGGAATACCAAAAATAAAAAGTCACTAAACAAACCAGTGAAGGCCAGTTAGCTCAGTTGGTTAGAACGTGGTGCTGAAAACACCAAAGTCCAGGGTTCGATCCAAGTATGGGCCAGCCACCAAAAATAAATAAATAGTAAGTAAGCCTGGCTGGTTAGTTCAGTTGGTTAGAGCACAGCCTTATAACACCAAGGTCATGGGTTCTGATCCCCATACTGTCCAGCTGCAAATAAGTAAATAAATAAACCAATGCAGTTTATTTGCCATTTTGAATAGAAAAGTTCCAATAACCCAATAATCTGGATTATTAGGGTGGATACCACTGTGGCTCTTTCTAAAGGAAAGTCCACAGACTTAATGATACATATATAGAGAGAGAGATACACAGATGGATAAACATCCATCACAGTTGGCAGTAGGGAGGTCCCAAACTCTCCAGGTTTAAGGGGGATAACAGAGCAGGAGGTGGATGGTAATCGAGAAGATGCTGAAAGCTGAAAGACTATAGCCACCCCTAACACAAGTCATTTTATGTCAGTGTGGCTGATGTGCACTTGATTGTCAGGGAAATTGTTATTTTTGCCTAAAAGGAATAAACTGAAAAGCAAAAGCCTTTGGTTTTCTTCAATTTCATCCCACTTCCAAAACTTTCTATTACAGTAATGATATTTGCTCTTCCCCCTCCCCCCAAAACAAGGAAGCATTCTGTATAGTGACGAACTATACAGTTATCAGATTTACCCAGTTGTTTTTAGTGCATTGTCTTCTCATGGCTTCATTGACATCTTCAGTCTTCTTGCCTGGTCCTTTTGGGCATCTCCATTTTCTACAGAATTCTTCTGCAAGAATTTCTTTGCCAGGACCGACCTTCTGCTTTGGGTTTCTTCTCCCTTCTTTTTAATGCTTTTTAACGTTTGTATTCTGTACTGGCCAGCTGCCAAGAAATAAACAATAAAGTTTATGTTCTAACTTTGGAGGATTAGGTTTAGTAAGTGTATGTGCGGGTGCTTAGTTATTCATTCTTCTCCTTAGCTATGTTGGTGTTGGGGTTTTTACCCCAGAGCGGACGGGAGTGTGGTAGCATATAGGTTACAGCTGATCTGGGACTTACTGATATTTTCTCTACTTCATAAATCTTACATTCTGGGTTTAGAGACTTTAGTGAAAAGGTCTGAGATGGTAGTATGGTGTCTTTATTTGGAGGACGTGGTTACAGGATAAGGGCCAGCAGCAGTGGTGGTGAATTAAACATTGTAAGATCTGACAATATGAAAAACCTGTCACACTGTCCTGTCTTATGTTTGCTTGCTTTCTTCCTCGGTGAAAAGCTGTTTATAGTGACCATACAAATAACTGTTATAGATTCTAAATGCCCCACAGCTATTCTATTGTAACTGACCTTTCTGGATATACATGTTATTTGGAACCTTGCTTCTAAGAATAATGAGCATTTTCTTTTGCAGGAAGAGCAAGCAGTCAGAGCAAAATACCTACTAGGTCGGGAAGTCACTGGAAACATGAGAGCCATCCTAATTGACTGGCTAGTACAGGTGCAAATGAAATTCAGGTTGCTTCAGGAGACTATGTACATGACTGTTTCCATTATTGATCGGTTCATGCAGGTGAGCGTAATTCAGTAATTGAGGGTTCTCCCCTGCTGGCTTCTAGCTGATTCGTAACAAACTGTCTTTAAAGCTAAAATCTGTTTCAGGGGATAGGGTGTCCTTAATTGAGATTTTACTATGGGAGTATGTCTTTCCCACCTCATAGCTCTGTGTCTCCTTTTCAAATACATATTACGTATTCATCCAGTTGAAATTTCCATTGCAGAATAATTGTGTGCCCAAGAAGATGCTGCAGCTGGTTGGTGTCACTGCCATGTTTATTGCAAGTAAATATGAAGAAATGTACCCTCCAGAAATCGGTGATTTTGCTTTTGTGACTGACAACACTTACACTAAGCACCAAATCAGACAGATGGAAATGAAGATTCTAAGAGCTTTAAACTTTGGTCTGGGTCGCCCTCTACCCCTGCACTTCCTTCGGAGAGCATCTAAGATTGGAGAGGTAGATATTTATTGAGAAACCATTGGTATGGTACATTAAGGAATAATGCTGCTGACGAAACAGGTCTAATTCAACTTACCCATATTAAATACCTAATTATACAGGAAAGGGATAAAAATGTTCTTTATTTCCAATCATGCAGTATATTATGATTAAGGCCTTCCATGGGCAATTGCATGTGAGAGTTTGTAGACAAACATTTGTAGTTACAGATAATGGGCGTGCAGGTCATTGCCAATGTAAATGTCTCTGAAAGAAGCTGAGTGACGTGGGTTTTGTTCCAGGTTGATGTTGAGCAACATACTTTGGCCAAATACCTGATGGAACTAACTATGTTGGACTATGACATGGTGCACTTTCCTCCTTCTCAAATTGCAGCAGGGGCTTTTTGCTTAGCACTGAAAATTCTCGATAATGGTGAATGGGTAAGTTCTGTCCCACAAAGCTACCAAGCTTTTAAATTGTAAATTGAACTTTTGTCATTAAAAGACAATTCAAATGGTTCCTAAATATGGAATCTAATGAAGGAATAGTTAAAAGTTATATCTTGTTTGTGATGTCTTCCTCATAGAATGCTTCCATTTCTTTACCAAACTTCATCCTTATATACCCCTTTGAAAAAAGCAGAGTAGCTTTTACTCCTTTTTTTTTTGTTGTTGTTGTTGTTCTTTTTTTTTCTTTTAAGATGACCGATAAGGGGATCTCAACCCTTGGTTTGGTGTTGTCAACACCATGCTCAGCCAGTGAGCCAACCAGCCATCCCTATATAGGATCCGAACCTGTGGCCTTAGTGTTATCAGCACTGCACTCTACCGAGTGAGCCACGGGCCGACCCTAGCTTTTACTCCTTATAGATAGAGTAACTGCAGCAGGTCAGATGACATGCTAGAAGTTCATTGATGCAACAAACATTTCTCCTATGTGCCAGGCACTAGCCTGTGCCCTAGGAATAGAACTATGAATGAGAAAGTTGGCCTCAAGTAACTTGGAGTCTAGCTTTGGGGTTGACAATTCAGCAATTACAATAGTGTAATTAAGTTTGAGCATAGGTTCCTACAGAAGCATGAAAGAGTACCTCAGGAAAGAGGAGTCTTTTTTTTCCCCCCCCCAAAAGGTGACTGGTAAGGGGATCTTAACCCTTGATTGGTGTTGTCAGCACCACGCTCTCCAAGTGAGCTAACTAACCATCCGTACATAGGGATCCGAACCCATGGCCTTGGGTGTTATCAGCACCACACTCTCCCAAGTGATCCACGGGCCAGCCCCAGAGGAAGGAGGAGGAGTCTTAAGCTTGTCTTAAATTTCAATTGTAGTCAGTCATACAGTATCTATCCCCCTACCCCACTCAAGAAACATCTAGAAATTTTATGAAAACCATTATTGATCAGCATTTTTTACATAATCTTTTGTTGTCTTAGACACCAACTCTACAGCATTACTTGTCATACACTGAAGAATCCCTTCTTCTTGTTATGCAGCACCTGGCTAAGAATATAGTCATGGTGAATCGTGGGCTTACACATTCAGACTGCTTTTTCTCTTTGCCTCTACAGACAGTGCTGTTTAAATAGAATTTTATAACTTTATGTATGCCAGGTTCCCCAAACTGCATTTTAAGTTCTGACAGGTAGAGCCAGATGACTTTCTCAATGTCATCAGTGTACAAAAGTGCCTGCTTTCTCTGCATCCTTGTTAGAATTGAAGGTAATGTCTTCAATTTCTGTGAATACAACTGGCAAAAAAAATCCTTCTCATTTGCTGTTTTAATTTATACTTCTGATGGCAAGTTGAATAAATTTTTCTCTACTTACTTTTCCCTTTGTCTGTTGTCTTTTGCCATGCAGAAATTTTAAGGTTTCGTATTATGAAGTCTATTTTTTCTGTAGTTGCTTTTGGATTTTCAGTCTTAAGGTCAACTCCATCCCCAAACCATGAATACTTCCTAAAATTGTATCTTAATTTTTCCCATTTATATCTAGAGTCCTTCAGTAAACTGTTTTTGTTCGTGGTATAAAATAGGATTCTTACTTCCTGGTAGACACCCATTTATGTCAATTATGATTGAAAGCCCTCCTTGTCCAACCTGAAACATCTTCAATGCCCAGCTATTTCCTAATCTAACTTAGTTTTTTCCTGTGACAATAGTTTTACACGAATTTACCAGTTTATCTGATGAGGATCACCACTGTTTTCCTAACAGTTGGGGTCATTATCAGACTCTTCCATATAAACTTTAATATTGTCCAGTTACCAAAAAGTTCCTCTGAGATTTTGACTGTACATTATATACTAGCTTGGGATGGACTGACTCGTCTTGCCACCTAGAAACATTTTCCGTTGAGCCTTGTTGCATGCCCTTCAATACAATGTTAGAACTTAATTATATGATTCTGTAGTTTTCTTGCATTTAATGCTGGGTTTATGGTTTTTGTCACCGTTATGAACAGGATATATTTCACATGTTTTATTGCTAGTTGTGTATTTAGTACACAGTTGACTTATTAATTTCACTTCAAATAGCTTTTAGGGCCGGCCCATGGCTCACTCGGGAGAGTGTGGTGCTGATAATACCAAGGCCACGGGTTCGGATCCCATATAGGGATAGCCAGTTAGCTCATTGGGTGAGCATGGTGCTGACAACACCAAGTCAAGGGTGAAGATCCCCTTACCGGTCATCTTTTTTTTTTTCATGTCCGGCAACGGATCGCAACCCTCAGTGTCGCGCCCGTACCGGACCGGGACCGGCAACGGTATCGCAACCCTCGGTGTTGCTCCCGCACCTC